AAATCTGGCTAGCTGTCCTAAACCGCACACAAACTAGATGTTGCAACTCGGGTATTGGGATTGAAGTCACGCCCGCACTAGAAACACAGAGACAGGACAATGTCTCTATTCACGAGGCTTTTGCCAACCAACAGAAATGCATGGCAGTCTATTTCGATATTAACAAAGCTTTCGAAACTGCGTGCCGTTATAATATTCTGGACAAATTGAAAAAATGGGGTTATGATGGGAACCTATTAGCATTTGTACAGAACTTCCTTTTGGAAAGGAAGTTCCAAGTTCGAGTAAATGGTACATTATTACAGTGCAAAACTCAAGAAAATGGTATTCCTCAGGGCTCGATAATAAGCCCCACATTATTTCTAATAGCACTCAATGACATCTTACACTCCTTGAAAAAACCCCTTCAGGCAAGAATATACGCAGATGATATGGTACTATTTGTCAAAGGAAAGAATATCCACAACCTAGCTAAACTGTTACAGATCCAAATAAGTTCTCTAGAAAAATGGTCCAAAACGACAGGTTTCAATTTTTCTACAGAAAAAACGAACTGCATTATATTCTCAAAGAAAATATGCGAGAAAGAAATCACCAACAATGAAAATAAATGACACAAAACTAACATTCGTAACCCACATCAGATTCATAGAGATGATATTTGACCAACAATTAAATTGGAAGCAACATGTCAGACATCTAGTGCTATCATGCCAAAAAAGAATAAACATACTCAAACACCTAGCTCATAAACAATGGGGTGCAGAAGGTTCAACACTACTGCTGCTGTACCGATCTTTAATACGCTCGAATCGATTTCCAACAAGTTACTGTCGGCCAAGAACTGATATTCCATTTTACGAGAGGATCCGACGACAAGTAAGTTCTTTACAAATGGAGTCATTTCCAACCCCGTACCCCACATACATCAAATCTGCATCACCATGGTTCATACAGACTCCTATCATAAACACTCTCCTATCCCAGTTTCCCAAACACGATACAAATAAGAACATCATCAAACAAAATTTTCGACAAATCCTGGACCAATTCGACCACCCTGAAGAAATATACACAGACTCATCCAAAACTCATATTGGTGTGGGAGCTGCAGTAGTGACTGACTATGTTGCATTGACCTTTAAACTTCCAGACACAGCAACAATACTAACTAGAGAATTATTTACCATCCTTCAAGCTCTACGATAAGTCAAGTGCTTCGGACACTGTCTCAATCATTTCAGACTCTCTTAGTGTCTTACAACTTCTTCAACGAATATATATCAAACACCCCATTGGAATACTTATCAAACAACAATTTTTCGAACTCCAATCGCTCAAGAAGAAAATCATCCTACTTTGGGTTCCTTCGCATGTGGGGATTGTTGGAAACGAGAGTGCTGATTTTCATGCTCGTGAAGCGATTGATAATCCGAACCAAGGAATAACAATGTGTAGCCCTCATACCGACCTGAAAATATACTTCAAAAGCATATTGTTGAGGAAGTGGAACATTGAATGGCAGAGTACCCCATTCAAACTGAGAGAATGGAAACCCAAAGTCGGACCATGGAACTATGGAACACTGAAAAGAAGGGAACAAGTTATAATCACCCGTCTTCGATTAGGACACAACAAAGTAACCCACGAATACTTAATATCTCTAGCAGATCAACCACAGTGCTACATTTGTGAAGTTGCACTTACAATACATCACATCATTGTGCAGTGTCCAGTGTTTCAATTAGAAAGGGAAATGTGCAAAATATCGACGGAATCGCAGGAAACCTTGAGTTATTTTAGTGCTAGCAAGATTTTAAATTATTTAAGTGCTCTGAACTTATCTAACAAAATATAATATTGTAATCAATATAGTTACTGCTTGTAAATATCCTTTCCGCCGCTAATAACCATAAGGTTGAAGCAGTTATTTTCAAATAAAAAAAAAATTACTTTGAAGAAAATTAAATTGAATTAATGATAGCAACGATTCATAATAATCTCCAACTACAGGCCCGGTTGCCACCGCTCGAAGCATGTTGCCTGGTGTGTCGTCAAGTGGTGCGTTCCACTAAGCGTTCACAACGCCTAAAATACTCATTCAGGCGTTCCACATGGCGACCGCGATCGTTGTGGTCATGGCGAAAACGTCATTAATGACGTCATTACTTATGCTCACGCCTAGCTCACGACGACCCATCTCAAGAGGTGGGTCTATGTGAGCGTTTAGAGAAACTGAGCGCAATTTTTAAAACTAAAAGCAGCAAACATGGCGACAACAACAATATCGTTCTATTGTGCCGAACAAAATACTGCTGTGGATCTCAAACTTTCTCCTGCAGATGCTGAACGTGCGTTAACAGGTAGAAATAAAAAAAGGGTTTAATTTTATACTTGTGAATTATGGTATATAATTCTAAAATGATTAATTGAAAAAAAATCAACCTATAAGAATCTGTTGTGGCCATTTTCCAAAGAGCTATCATCAATTGATGACGGGAAGGAATTGTAGGACATCCGGGAACACGTCGGACTAAATCTTCTTGTATAGGCTCATGTAAATAATTTAATGTACATCTTGAAAGTTTAAAGAGATCAATAAAGAATTCCATGAGTAAAATTTCCAAAATCTATAGTGTATTAGGTGATAAAAAATAATTTACCTGAAATTACTTTTAAATTCTTCATCTGAATAACGAGTAATTACATTATCGTAATCAATAAAACGTGGTCTAAGTTTTCGTTTTTCACGATTATATTTTTGTAAAATTGTATTCCATTTTTCATCTGAGCTGGACGAACTAGTACTTTGTGGAGCATTATTTCGACGCACCAACAAATTTCCAACTGCCGCCGTAAAAGGCATTTTTATTATATACGAACATAAATTAGTTAAATACTCCTCTAAAATTAAAGTATATATAAACATAATTTTTGTTTAATAAATCATGTTAACCAACAATTAATAGAACTTATTGATACTACTTACAAATTGTAACATAACCTCATCAACTTTTTGTTTTGTTTTTTTAAACGCGTCATGTGTATTATTTAAATGAACGCTCAAAACGCTCCAAAATCCATTCCACTTCAATTAATGATTGTGACTCCCAGAACCAAGTGGAACGGCAAAAACCGTTGTCGTTAGCGTGGTCGTTGTGAATGCTTAGTGGAACGCACTGAAGATGTACCGCGGGCGATCTCACATTTTGAATTGCTCTTGCTCAGTTGTTAAGTGACATATAAACTGGCAAATTTTGTGAGATACTTGGGAGATGATTTACTTTTATAATATATAATTTTCAATAAACAACTGAATTAGCCTGAATGAACCCATTGTGAATTAAATAATGAATCTCTGTACTGTTATTTCAGAGCATTTCAAAATAGAACTCTTGACACATTCGGTAACTTAAGGATGCCCAAAAATAAATTTGTTTATTTTATTTCCTCCTTGGAAGTAAACTTCCAAAGCAATTTTGAAAATCTTATTGTAAGAACAAATGTCATTGCATGATTTGTATCATTGTTCGAACAATTTAATTATATCCATCCATGTGAAAATTCACAAATATCTCACCTTTTGAAGTTATATAGTAGAGTAAGATTATTTTATACATTGAAATGTAAAAATAGGAATTTTAAATCCCAGAAAAATATTGCCAAAAAAATAAGGAAGAATGAAATAATACTTTGGAGACGCGAATAAATGTTTTAAAATGAACAATTTGTATTTTTAGTATTTTCCTTATATAATAATCACCAGCTACCCTGGAAACCTAGAAGGATCCTAAGTGGGTCTACTACATGATATTAACATTTCAGGAGAGTAAAAAACGTTCTGTAAACGTATTACTAAAAAAGAATAAAAAGATTGGAGTAACAAAAGTAAGTTGATGTTTGGATAGAACTTACCTACGTATATATAAAACAAATACATTTATGTTAAAAAAGAGTTAATCCTAAAATGCAAGAAGAACGTCAATTCTTATAAAGAACAAGCAATTCAACTAAAAGGTCAAGTAGTAATATACAAAATCACATTTATTTTAAGAGAGGTAGATCATAAAATTAAAAAGTTGATTGCTGGACAATTTCTCCTTTATATTCCAGTTGATTGAACCATTGTATTCCTACTGGTGATTTTAGAAATAATTCGGCTGTTTTGACATTTTTTGAAAAAATCATGTAACCAGATAGAATGTCTGCACAAGAATTATTATATCAATTGAATTTGGGTCCATTCCGTAAGGTATATAAAAATTATATGATCATTTTGGATATAAGAAAGTTTGAGTGCGAACCTGTCCAAAACCATTTCGCGAGTCCTGTCCTCTCATCGTCACTTCCCAAAATGGCGTCTAGATACTTTTCCACATCAAAGGCGGCATGGCCAAGTGTCCATGCTGATTTTTATATATGCTGTGATACGACCCAATCTTCTCTATTATATAATGATCACAAAACACAAAGGATAATATATAGTGTATGTTTGTAAGTGTACCATCCAGGTATAAAATCTGGCTAGCTGCCCTAAACCGCAAACAAATAAGATCTTTCAACACGGTATTGAGATTGAAGTCATGCCCACTAGAAACACAGAGACAGGACAATGTAGTTTATGCTCAATGGAGTTCTCCAGTCTGAATCACAAAACTTAGAATGATATTTTATGAGTTTTGTGTTTTGTAGCTATCGTAAATGAATCTCAGAGCGGAGAAAAAAAAATTAAATTTTTACAATGAAAGTATGCAACAGGTAAAACATCATCACGTCTTCTTCTCTTCTCTTTTTTTATGTTCTTTGCTTCCCTTCGGCGCAGTAGACTAATCATTACGTCGAATCTGGGTTAAATAATGTCAGAACATGGATCTCTCCATCCTCTTTTAGTTGTTGGAGTCGGTTTTCTCATTTCTATGGCCAGTCTATATTATGACGTCACCACAAAATATTCGAATGTCTTTGATTTAAAAAAAATTGAATACCTAGTAATTTCCTGATAACATTTCAAATTTTTAAAAAATTCTTCATAACTGATAGGTTATATGTGATTGACGATCAAATGCTTTATTCTTAATTAGGAGTGTGCTAATGGAAAAACCCAACTTCCACTCCTCTTGTGTTATTAATCATGAATTATCTGATGTGGTGTAATTTAAATCTCACCACAAAGGAAAATGTTTATTGGATATTGAATTCAACTCTAATTTATTGGTTAAAAAGTACTGTAGAGCAGATGATCTTCTATTTATCTTGACAGTTTTTGAATATTGTGATAATATTGAGTTGATCCTCGTCATTGAGCCTATTGAAATCTGAAGATATATTGTTTGTCTCTTGAAAAATATGCAGTGTGAATCTTCTGAACCTTCGAAGACTTGGTTAGGAACTGGAATATCGGAACTGTGCAAAGGAAAGGGGCGATGGAGCTTCAGTGTGAATCCTATTAATATTTCAAAATATCATGCTGTGCTATTTAACCTTCCTGTTACTTTAAAAGAACCTCCAAAACCTCATCGTAGTTCAGATCCACATCACTGGGATGATGACCATGTTCACATGCCTTATTCCGAAAAAAGTTTGTTTCCCATTACTGAAGTGAGTATGAAAAGACAATGTATTCTTGAAAAAATAGTTTCTCTTTTTAGAATGGCAAGGATGTGATCAAATTACGGTGGGATATTATCAGGGAGAACTTGTCAAAACCTATTAGTAACACTAGCGAACTTGATGCAGCCATAAGATCATATAACAGTTCATTGCCCAAGTTCACTGCCCTTCATCACTTTTTGGAAGAGGTATAGTATTGAAATAGTATAATGTGTTATTTTTTAGAAATAATTACTCTCATTCTTCATCACTTTGCTCAAACTACTACAAAAAAATCATTAGATTTATTCGAGGGGTTTGTGATACAATACAGTGCTGTTTCAACCCACCAGGCCTGGTCAGTGGAGCTAGGTAAAATTACAAAAAATAAGTAATAATCTCCCCTGTGAGATTTTACTTTGAGGCATCCTTACAATTGAAGAAAGTGCATATATCAACCGACAGAGTGCTCAATATTATTTGAAGCATTACCCTGTTCTTTGTTGATGTCATGAATTCTGAACACTTTCAATTTTTTGTATGACAAAGGGCAAGAGTCTCACAAACACTCATTTTTATGATCCAAGGTAAATAGTGTCTACTTCCATAAATACCGTTAATAAAGGCATATGCTTTGTATAACTTTAGTAACGTTATACTTAACGTAATCTCAAACTATTGTTTAGATGTGGTGACTTTGAAGAACAGTTAGAATCAACATTACTAATAATGTCTACTAAGCTAATTTTTACTCCGCAATAAGGTTTGGTATTATCATTTGGGGCTCCAGTCATGAGCTGAACAGAGTATTTCTCTGCCAAAAAAAGGTAATCAGAATACTTTTTGGTATGAAGGTCAAAGACTCATGTAAAGGAATCTTTAAAATGAACAAATTATTAACAGTACCAGCAATATACATTTTTGAGTCATTGAAATTTTTAGTAAATCAACCAAGCTACTTTGAAAAGCATCATAAAACACATAAGTATGGAACAAGATTTAGGAATGATTTTTTATATCTGATACATAAAAAATCTCTATATGAACGAAGTACTGTATACAGTGCGATTCAATTTTTTAATTTTCTGCCACAGGATATAAGAGACATTGGGTTGGCCAGTGGTTTTCTGAAGTCTGTGAAAGAATTTTTATGCAATATAGAGCCTTATACTATAGATAAATATTTCAACAGTGTATGTTAAATTTTATCTTATCAACTCTATACTTATATGTGTATGTGACGTGTTGTATTCAAATTTTGTATCTTATTAATCTTTCGTAATTTTGTTCACTGACGTATTTCTCGAACAAAGTATTTCTTTTAACTTTTTTACAAGATTTACATATACTCTGTAGAAATAAATGAATATCTATCTAGTTATCTAATCCATTTGACTTTTGTAATAAGAAGCAATGCGATCACCTGACATTTCAAGCACTCGGAAAAGATATTCTCAAGTAATACTTTATTGTGAGATTTCAACTGAACAGTTTACAAAACTGCAACACATGTTTTGCTATACAACAGCTTCCTCAGATGAAAGCTATTGTATAGCGAAACACAACTTGTGGTTTTGTAAACTGTTCAGTTAACATCTCACAATAAAATGTAACTTGAATACGTTATAGCTTTCCGTCACATATCAGCCAGTTACGTCACATAACTCAAAAAAGAGTTATTTATAAAATGGGTAATTAGTAAGAAAGAACTTTGAATCGAAAGTTTCGAGAATATCAGTGAATGTTTGATTATTTCTATGAATTTTTTTCAAGGTTGCGGAAGAAGAAGAAAATGAGTACTTTTTCACAAATATTCTACCAAAAATAATAAAACTGGCCCTGAAGCTACCAGAACTAATACCCGGTAGTCTTCCTCTTTTGAAGAAGGGCCACAATAGATCAGTCAGTTTATCTCAACTGCAGATAGCCTCTTTGCTTGCAAATGGATTCCTCTGTACGTTTCCATGGAGGAAAGAAGTTGCATGTACCTATCCAGGAGTAAACTTTGTTAGACTATTTTCAGCTCACGATAGACCAGAAAGACAAACTTGTGTTGACGAAAAATTGAAATGCATCGTACATTACTTCAAAAGAGTCACTTCTACAAGTAGGTGCAATTAGTTAACTGTTGATTAAATAGACTTTCTGTAAAACAGATTCAAAATTGATTTAGGCGTCTATCCTCTGAAGTTAGGATTATGCTAAAGCCAACCAATCATTTTTAAATGAAAGTTTTGTGTAACTTTTAGTTAAAACAAATGACAATATTTACAGAAATAATATTTAATAAAAAAGTTTGAACATTGAACATTTTTTTACTGATGTAATCTCCTCAATATATGAAATATTTCAAAATCAGTTTTCAATAAAGTCACTGCCGAGTTGAAAAACCCTGTATATAAAAAAGTGTCTCTTATTCCCTTTTAGGTCCGGTGGGAGTTGTTACATTTGAAAGAAAATTTATACCAAAATCAAGCATGCCTCGGTGGGATACTCTGAGAAACAATATAGCAAATTCAAAAGTTTATATAAATAGTTCTGGAACAATTGAAGATGATGGACTAGGATTTCTACAGGTTGATTTCGCCAATAGGTAAGGAGGCCCACTGAAAATGATCCCTAACAAGTAGTAACATTAGATAATGAATGATAATTGGCATTTTTAGGAATCGCATGTGAGACAGATAGATATTTATTTAATCTCTTATTAAAAAAAAAAAAAAAAAGTTTAATGTCTAAATGTCTAACAGGAGTAATCCCAATTACAAGACAAATATAATTAAGTTCACAGCTATGACTAAGTATGAGTACAATGGAATATAACGAATAGCATATAAAATCAGCAGAGTAATAGAGTAGTATAGATATTATACAAACAGTGATACATTCATATAATAATAATAATAATAATAAAGAAAACATATACTGTAGAATTCTAATAGAATTGACAGTGTGCAGAGAGTTGAAACACAGTATTTCACTTATGGGTTGAAATTAGATTCAAGTTCGACTTGCATAGAAAATAGCTTGTTACGAATTATATACTTACTTAAAGCGTCCAAATGGAACAACAAAAATTTCACATTCTGAATAGAAACTATTATAAATTTTACAGATGTTATAAACTGGAGATTTTATCAACATATAGAGAACTCTTTATATGTTGCTTTTTTTGCAAGTGGTGCAAATCGAAGTGGTTCTTCAGTCTGGTATCATATTCATGGCCCAAGAACCCCACCTCGGGGTGTGCCAATCTTTATATCAAAATTTTCGGAGAACTGCTTGTCAACCTGCACCTAAATAGATCTACCGGACATATATGACTCGATCCATTTTTGAATTGGACCTCAGATGTCTGGAGCTTCCAGTTTTATTTGTAGATATCTAGGGTTGATAATGTCAATTACACGAGACAGATCAAAGAATAGTCCAACCACAAGCTTATTTTCGTTGATGCTATCATGTATATATTGTACAAGATCTGCTGAGGCTGTTTCGACACAATAATAGCCAGGTCGGAATCCGAACTGTCGTGGGGTTAATAAATTATGTTTAGTTAAGTATGATGTTATTTGATTATAGACTGCTATTTCCATAATTTTGAAAAAACAGCTCAGCAGACATAAGTATCATTCTGTAGTTTTTCACGTTTTCCAATCTTGAAGACCAATTTATTTGGGAACACTCCACTAATGACAGAATGATTTATAATAATGGCCAATCTACTTGAGATATTGACAATGGACTCTTTCAGTAGAATAACTGGTATTTCATCTATGCCAGTGGAAAATTTCTTTTTCAAGCCTAACACAATAGATTTGATGTCATGTTCAGTCACAGGAGCAGAGAACATAGAATTAGGAGTTGTGACGGGTGATTTTGAGCACAGATCAATGGGGAGGTTAAGAGAATCTAGCTTCTCTCTGACAGAATTTGCAAAGTATTTCCCAAACATATTTGCTACCTGTGTTTTATCTGCTAATATTTCATTATCTACATTCAATGTGATTTCCTGTTTTTTACGTGGTTAGTCTTGATATTTTCCAAATTCCACAGAGCCTTCGCCTTGTTATCAGAGGAGGCAACTGTTTATAATGCATTACTCTCTATGATAAATAACTTAACTTCAAGTCTGAATCTGGAAAAAATAAAATTTCAAATGAAACAAATATTTTCCTAATTCACCAGAATATTTAATTGATTTCGTGAATGTAAGTTTTCTACCAGCATTTTGTCATCGTGATTTGTTTGTGACACTTATATTTGTTTTTCTTATTCATTATGAGTAAATGAGGATAAGTTATTGGCTCTCAAGGATAATTGGCTGAATGATTTCATGACAAACAGAAAATCATGTTTATAGAAAATGAATCATTTCACGGGAAGAGCCTTCTTTGAAATGTCTGTAACAGTAAAAAATTGACATGATGAATACCTCGGAATTTGACAAATGAGTAAAAAATTCATGACAAACCAATGCAAGTTATTTACAGAGAATATTCAAATGGAACAATAAGAAACAATGACAAAATGGTTTAGACTTTCGCGGCTGAGGTTTTTAGTGTTACTTTTTTTCGAGTTTGAAAGCCGTGGATTTTTGGAATTTCTTCCTGACGCTTCAATAATTTATTTGAATACAATTTAGTTTCGTTTATTTTAGTTTATTCTACATATTAAAAATTTCCTGAAATAAAATGTTGACATTTCTTGCAAATTTTATTAAAACAAATACTGATTATGCACCCTTGATACAAAAATAACTATTTCGCTTAAGGATGTCATAAAGGAACGTACCCAACAGTAATGACCTCTTCAAACGAGTAAAATGTCAAATTGATTTCCAAAGCATTCTTGTGAAAAATGCAAAATATTCGTAATAACTTCAACATGCATCGATTATCAAATAATCGACTTGAAGTCTTCAAGTCCAAATATTTAGAAAACGGTTGCTTACAGCGACTAGTAACAAGGGTAGCTTATTTACATAGATATGATAGAGGAATCGATTTTTTTACTAAAAAATGTGCTAGAAATACGCCCAAAAAAGTTATGAATCTTTAAAAAAGAAAAAGACGTGTAGGTGGCGCCCCCTACGAGTAAGAGCAATAAGAACATCAGGTTCGAATTAAGTTTCGTTTAATTAAGTTCAGTATTCCAAAAGTTATTTGAAAAAAAACGAAAATGAAAATAAAACTTCAACATCCTGTATTTTGGAAACGAAGCGTTTCCGGACATTTATTTATTTGGACAATTCATATTAGAATATTGTGAGGAATCACCTCCTGAAGTTTGTCAAAGTACTTTTGAATCACCCTGTATAACACTTTGCCTAGTGAGTGGAAAGACCTTCATATCAAATAATTGAAGTTCAAAGTAAAAAATTCAACCAAGGCTTCTATAAGATTGATGAGGTATTCAATTGTCAGTGGACCTAATATATGTACCTATATGTGTGTATATATGTGTATTTATATTGTGAGTCATAACTATTGTGAGATTTTTTTATGTACTCTATGTATATTTTTTATATTTTCAGTATGACGTACCTTAGCAAATTTTGTTATTGCAGATATTTTCTAATGTTACAGAAATTGTAATTTGAGGTCAATAAAATTTCTTTCTTTCTTTCTTCCTATTGACAAAAATCGATCAGGAGGTATCTTACTTCAGATTCAGAAAAACGCTGAAAACATACTTACTGGATAAATCATATTATACAATGGACGAGTTCTCATCTTCATAGTGAACTCTTTTTGCTCCTTATAGCATTTAAAAGTAAATGTATTGTTTGCCTAATCTATGTTCAAATTTCTTTTGATTGTTTTATGCCTTTTAGGTCTTTGAAACCAATAAAGATTATTATTATTATTATAACAAATGCAGCATTATTGTGCCACTGCTTGTGTGTGGGCGTATACTATCTCTATTTGTCTCTATACATTTATTTCATTTTATTTATTCGTGATTGTCATTTCAATGTTCCTCACACACATTTAATTTCACAAGAAATTTCCTATAAGATATTCGAATCTTTGGATACAGAAAATTATATTTAAAGAACGACATTCTTGTGGAATAAACATCCTGGGCTGGTATTTCCGATTGATTATATTTTGCAGATAATACCTACAGAGGTGACTTTGACATTTGTATATTAAAACAACTAATATTAATTTGTTTGAAGGTGGTTGACAATGTTTTATGGTGAATTTCATTAGTTTGGACTTCCATTGTCTAATATAATATAGTATAATTTGAAATCTCTGAAATAACAAATGAAAATTAAAATTTATTTGTTATTTCAGAGGTTTCACATCATATACCATATTAGACAATGGAAATCCGAACTAATGAAATTCATCTAATATTCAGTTGTTAACGATTACGATTTTTATGGATGAATCATGAAAACAATGTTTTCCTTGAGTTAGAGATCTGAACTATAAAACTTAGACATCGCAGACTCTTTGCTACTCCTGAATGGAATAATAATTGTTCAGTGACTTTTTTATTTTCAGAAACGTAGGAGGGGGAGTCTTGGGTTACGGTTGCGTTCAGGAAGAAATTCGTTTCATCATCTGTCCAGAGTTGATTGTTAGTAGATTATTTGTTGAACAATTAGGTGATCAAGAGGCAGTGATAGTAACTGGTATGTGTACGATTTTGATTTTTTCTCACTTCCTATATTTCTCTTCAGTAAAATGGTCTTATTAATTCTGCTAGGTGTCGAACGATTCAGCAATTACTCGGGATATGGTGAGTCTTTCCAGTGGAAAGGTAATGTTATAGACGATACACCCCATGATGAATATGGCCGAAGAAGAACATCCATTTGTATAATTGATGCTACTCATTTCAATAAGCCTAAGGATCAGTTTCACCCTTCTGCCATGTTGAGGGAATTGAACAAAGTAAGCATTCTTCAAAGTCTGAAGGCTTGGTAGGCAGAGAGTGGTTTGTTGTTTGTTTCATTAGAATGTTTCTAAAATTTCGATTATCAAAAAGTCAAAAGCTCATCATAACAGTTGGGCTGTCCAACGTGCAGTCTACTCAGATGATGTTCGTTTTGAGTCAAGTGTGAAATGATGCAACCATCCATTGATACATCCGGGTTTTTATGGTGGAACATAACCCAAATATTCATGCACGACATGTCCAACCCGTTACTTTGATAGATAGATAGAGATAGATAAAATTTATTTGTTCAGGATAAAAATACAGTACATACATATACATAGTAAATACATGTCAGTATAAATATAAACATATATCACAATAATATTAGGTTAAAAGAGGAAGGAAAGATGTACAGTACATAAACTGCACAAAAATTAATGCATACATATAAAATTATCAATACATGTAGATATAGGCTCCTACGAGTCCATGATTGTAGTTAAAGCAGTCAAATAGATCAAATAATAATAGTATCATTTAAATACTCGTCAGGTGCATAGTATGCTTCTTCAAGTAAAATTGCTTTTCATTTTATTTTTAATGTTGTTTTATCGAATTCCCTCACTGTAAGAGGGAGTTTGTTGTAAATTGTTATTAGAGTATGCGGTACGTTTTTTTGAATAAATGAAAAGTTTGGAGTATTACAGGTCAAGTCTGACTTATTTCTTGTAGAGTATATGTGTGTCTTTTTAGAGTTCTCAAAAAGTTTGGTGTTTTCCATAACAAATAGTATAGTATCAAGAATGTACTGGCTGTATAAGGTTAGTATTTTATTTTTTATAAATAAGGGTTTACAACTATCAGTTTGTTTATGGTTAAATATAATTCTAAGGCATCGCTTTTGCATCTTAAATATCTTGGGGACATCTGTCGAAGCACCCCAGAATATTAAACCGTACTTGATCCTTGAGTGAACTTGTGCGTAGTAGACACACATAGCAGCGTTTATATCTATTGATCTTGTTAGTACTCTTAGAGCATAGCAGTATTTTGCAATATTTTGTATTATTGAGGTTAGGTGAGATTTCCAGTCCAATCTAAGATCAAGCTCAATTCCCAAGAACTTTGTACTTTTGCAAGCTGATATTGTTGATCTACCATCTGAGGCTGAGTATTCACATGCAGTTGATTGTTGGGAAAACTTTATTACTTGTGTTTTGTTTATATTCAACTTTAAGTGATTATGTGTGAACCAATCTTCCAATGTATTCAGTGCTTCAAACACGCTTCTGTCTAATTCTTCAATACTATGTTCCTTGATTACTACACTTGTGTCATCTGCAAACTGCACAGTGTTGAAATCAATAGCATTTGCTAGCTCATTGGTATACAGAATATATAGCAACGGCCCTAAGATTGATCCTTGCGGAACTCCTCTCAAGATTGTTAATTCATCTGACTGTATGTTTTCGTTAGTGAGGTGGCATTTTTCAACAACTCTTTGTGTTCTATTTTGCAAGTATGATTTTATTAAATCGGCTGAGATTCCCCCGATTCCATAGGCATTAAGCTTGCCTATTAGTATATTATGGTCGACACTGTCAAAAGCTTTTGACAGATCTAGACAAATCATTAAAGTGTGTTTTCTTTCATTTTGACTATTTAGCACTGTGCACAAGGCTTGATAAATCGCTCGTGTAGTAGATTTGCCTCTTCGGAAGCCATTTTGGGTGTCACTCAATAACTCAAACTTTTCTAGATAGGCTATAAGGCGATTATATACGGCTTTTTCGAATATTTTACTAATGGTCGATAGTAGAGCTATTGGTCTATAATTTTCAATTCGATTTCTATCACCTTTTTTGAAAATTGCTTTTATGTGAGCAATTTTCAATTTATTGGGAAATATGCCATTACTAAGCATCATGTTGACAATCAATGTTAAGGGTTTTGAAAGTTCTTGCGCAGTGAATTTCAGTAGTTTTACAGGAATTTCATCATAGCCGACAGACCTGATGTTTTTTAGAGATAGTATTATGCTATAAATTTCACTTTCTGTTGTTAATGTAAGAAATAGAGTTTGGTTCGCTGATGGTAAGCTAGCAGGATTATTTATTTTATTGTTTGCTGGTTTGGAAAGGAGACTAGCAGGGTTATTTAATTTTGGATTCGCAGGTTCTGAGCATTGATTTATGTAAAAAGTATTTACTTTATCTAGAACCAGTTTTTTATTTCCGTTTTCTGTATCTAGGTTTCTCAAAATTGTGTCGCTTCCCAGTGTATTTTTTAACTAGTGACCATGTTGCCTTTCCTTTATTTGAAGCATTTGAAATATATTGATTGTCAGATATTACCTTCCATTTCTTGATAACATTTTTTAGTATTTTGCAGTATTGTCGGTATTGTTCATTTGATATAAGTTGTTTTAATTTCTTTTGATAGAGTTTCTTTTTATTTTTACATGATATTCTAATGCCCTTAGTCATCCAGTTTTTTGTGTCTTCATTTTTAGTATTAATTTTTTTGGCTTAAATAGAATATTTATCAGATTCATTATTTCATTAATGAATATATCATAAGCTATATTTGGATCATCAGTAGTAGATAATTCTTTCCAATCAAGAGAGTCTATTAAAAGTCTGAATTGCTCCATCTTTGCCTCAGAGAATATTCTTTTGCATTGTGTTGCTTTGGGTCTCGTTTCGCTTAATGTGGATAATTTGGATATCGTCAGAGCCTCAGCTATCCCGATCAACTTAGTTTGCGGTCATCCAAAATTATTTTGTGAACTTTTTTGATCTTTTCGTAGGTAACAGCCTCTTTGGGGCGTCCACTTCGTGCAATGTTCTCGGTGCTCATTTCACCTCGTTTAAACTTAGCAAACCGCTTCTTAACGGTTGATTTTCCTGGTTGCAAAGTCCGAATATTGTCTATCAATCCAAGCCTTGGCTTCAACAGCATTTTTTTTTCGCAAAAAAGCAATGCCTTATTAACACATGAAATTCATTTTTACCCATTTTTTTCAAACTAACAGAAGTTACTTCACTCAAAATGTTCTATACCACAAACTAATAGTCCGATAGCTGTGAAATTTATGCACGTGTCTTCTGAAGGTTGGGGGTTAACTAAAAATCATATGGATTCAATACTAGTAGCGCCATTTGTGCTGAGCCCATTAACTTTTCAACCCATCTAGTAGATTCTACTGAATAACTAGGATTTTAAAGTTTATTAGTGCGAGGTTCCATTGTCTATAATATGATTAGACATCTCTGGAAGAACAAATAAAATCAAAAATTGAAATGAATAGCTAAAAATAACAATATCATTCTCAGTTATTGACTGAAATACCAAACAATAACACAAAAAAGCAGATATTGTTGATTTCATGCGAAATTATGACATGGAAATACCCAAAAAGATTCCAACAAAAAAGGTATTACTGGCGACCATAAAACAACGTAATTCGATGTGTGAAACACGTGGTCATATTATCTTACGTTTGCCTCCATACTATTATGTGTTCAATCCAATTGAAATGGTTTGGGCCACAATGAAAAAAAGCTTGCGGAAATGTAATCAGTCACCGACTTTGAATGCTGTGGTGCTTGACAATATAAAGCGAGTGGTGAATGAAGTAGCTAATAGTGATGTGTGGAAGAAATGTGTGGCCCACGTTATAAAAGGAAAGAACTAATATTATGTGCAAAGTTCCATAAATTCGATCGTTATTCAACCCGATGATGATTCCACCTCATCCGAATATAGCGAAGAAGAATTTTGATTTTTCTAGCAATTTTGTTGGCCTCTATTATTTTGTAAATATATGTTTGACGAGAATTCGGTGTGATTATTTGTGTTTTCATTGTATTTTAGAGTTTTCTACTCGAAAATCAACTAGCTTAAATTTCGAAGTTTTTCATAATCACCCATGGTGGAAAAATTCAGTTGAGATAACTTTTTCATAGGGTGATCAATTGCTATGATTGTAAGAATAAGTAACTGAAAAATTACTACTGAAAAATAATATGCCGACGCCTATGTCGAGGCGGGAATTCCTTCTCTGTGCCGTTCCAATTGGTATTGGAAATACTATAAATCATATTTATAAAACAAGAAACAAATAAGATGGACAAATAATTATAGAAAAATATTCGACAACTGTAATGCAACGCCATAACACATATAATGGAAAAAATACTCAACTGATGCCCAGCACTACGAGTGCATTTCAACAATAAATTCAAAATAGAATTGAAATTATAGTTACTCGAAAATTATAGAAATAGGAAAATATGTCGGGTCGAATTTGTGCATTCATCATTATTTTATTTACTTTTATTTATCAATTTTTACGATAATTGCCTTTTTTTTCACCTAATTTACTGTTTTTTTTTATACGCCTTATCTTTTTTATTCATTAGTAACATTTACAAGTCTTCACATTTGTGACAATTTTGAGTTATTATTGAAATGTAATACCTATTATGAAAATGTATTCCGATATATTAGATGCACTGTCGAGTAGTGAATAAATGAGTAAGTTTTTGCAAATTTTATTTTATGCTTTGTTTCAAGGCCTACGTAGGATTCCACTCCAGAGAAAAAGTCAACTTAGCTCCTGTTGCTACGGGAAATTGGGGTTGTGGAGCATTTCGTGGCAATTCCTCTCTAAAAACAGTCCTGCAGTTGATGGCTTGCTGCGCCGCTGAAAGAGATATGGTTTACTATTCATTTGGAAATGAAGAGTTACGAGATGAGTTCTACGAGATGTATTTGTTTTTGATCAATAACAATATAATCATCAGTAAGTTACAAATACAGTTCCATTCAAATTCGACTCTCTGCAAGATGATCTCGTAACAGTGAAAGATCGAAAGTCGGTCAGAATTTACTATTTAGGATATTGTTTTAAGAATGGTGTTCATTGTTGTAAAAATTCCACAAGACATTGAAACGATGAAAAAGGTAGGAAACGTGAATATAAAGAGAATTCAAACATTGAGTTGAATAATCACAAGCTTGAAATGACTGAAACTCATCTATAGAATAAGAACAGTTCTCTATTGAATATGTCTTTGTATTAAATTGGTCATAACTTTTCACATATTTTAGAAACTGTGGCAATTTGTTATAAAGAGATTATAGATAGTAGATATTTGCAAAATTGCAGTTTTGAATTTGATATATCTATGAAGTTTTGAATGTTTGTCCTTCCCACATTGCCACTTCCAAGTATTCAATGATAACTTTAGGCTTTGACTTCTCATAGGAATCAATTAGTGACTGAAAAATATGATTCAATGTTTAAAGAAAATAGGCTGTTATTAACTCTTTCTTGTTGAAACTCATACAAAATTCCTGAGAAATGTAGAGTATTATTCGAAAATTTATGAAAGTGAAAGATATGAAGAATTTGACAGTGGGGCATTTAATTTCAAGATTTTCCTAAACTACTGACGGTTGTGCAAAGTCTCACTGGTTATGATTTCAAGGCATTTTAGATGCTTGGTTCTTTATTTACTCAAATAAAAATAGGCAGTCAAAGATATGGTTTGTAAAAACACATTAGGGCCATAATACCAAAACCCTTAGAAGAATCAAAATGTATTAATATACTCTTAGCCCTTTGAAATGTCTTGTGGCAAAGTTTGAACAGATTTTCAACACCGTTTTTATTGAATATTTCCGGAAACAAAAAAGCAGTAAATTTTTTAGTATTGTTCAATAGAAATCTAAAATAGCGATTTTGTCACAATTTCACCGACTCTCTGTCACTGATTATTCACGAGATCCCATGCAGAGATGCGAATATTTGAATAGCTACAGTTGGATAAAATACTACAATTAACATTGACAAATCTTATAAAGACATAGCTATCAGGTCTTCAAAATTGGCAGAATAACTCTCCTAATACTCATTCATACAGTGCATTTCTTAAATTTTCTTTTTATTTTTTGAACAGGTAATCTCAAAAAATTTAAATTTGGGATAATGAAATTAATGCATGAATACTTCATTTTGAAGTGGAATTGACAGAGGAAACTTTCAAAATGGCGACTGGGCACTATCTAGGAAAAAAATCAAATGAAAAGGAGGGTCTTGTGATACATCTTTTTTGAAGCTCCTGACAAATAATAATAATATTTATTAGTCTCAAGAAACACACAGTTTTTTGGACACGTCAATACAATTTCTAAAATAGGTTTGAGAGGGTAAGATTTGTCAATATAGTTTTTAAAAAAAATGCTTGTAGATAAATTAGATTTACAAAAAAAAATACAAGTTAACAAGATAAAATTCCAAACTTATAAGACTTGACTAAAATGTAAAGCCATGAGCTTTTACAAATTATAAACACATAGCTAACGTATTATATATATTCAAAGTTGAGTAAAAGTTCGGGAGGTGACCACAAAAGTGTCTCTTTCTTCTTGGATAACTTCGAAAAATTTGTCAATTTCAGATAAAGGATGTTTGGTTAATATTTTCTTCAATAAGTTTTTGAATCTTCTAAATGACAAGTTACGAAATTCGGCAGATAAGGCATTGTATAGCTTAATTCTTATATTATCTGTTCTTTTCAACCTATTAACTGTAGGAACAACGTTTGATTTATTTCTTGTATCATGTTGGTGTATATCCTTGTGAGCAACTTCATTCAACAAGTTTTGTTGAACAAGAAGCAGATTTTCATAGACAATAACTGAATATGGGGTCATTATTTTAAGTTTTACAAATATTTGTCGACACTTCTCATCATAATTGGCAGAGATTATGCTTCTTACTGCAGATGTTTGAATGACAAATATTCTATTAAGATGTACCTTTGATGCATTATTCCAATTGATTATACCATACCCAAGGACTGAATGAAAAAGAGAATGATATGTTGCAAGTGCCGCACTTTGATTTACAATTTTTTTGATTCTTCTGATAGCAAAAACCGTCTTACTAAGTTTACTACACATGTTATTTATGTGGTGTATCCATTTCAGGTTGGAATCTATTTGTACTCCCAAAAATTTGGTAGAATTTTTGTTATCTCGATTTAAGTAAATTGTTTCAAAACTTAGAGTTTCTGTTTTTTGTTCATTGAGAATCAAGTCATTTGGTGTGAACCATGATCGAGCTTCCTCTAATATGTTAGTATGGATCATATGAGGATCATCTATTTCATATATTTTTTTGCCCAAGGTTGCATCATCTGCATACAATATAGTTTCTATGCCTGACGAGTTCATCACGTGAGGTAGGTCGTTGATATATATTAGAAACAGAAGTGGCCCCAATATTGACCCTTGTGGCACTCCTTTTAATATTTTTCTTTTTTCACTTTTGGTATTTCCTAGATCAACAATTTGATATATTTCGTTAAGGTATGACTTCATCATGTCCAGGCAGACACCTCTCACTCCGTAGAAATCTAATTTTGCCAATAAAATCGAGTGATTTACCGAGTCGAATGCTGAAGGAAGATCTGTAAAAACGCTCACATATTTTTCTTGGTTATCAAAGGCGTCTTTTATTCTATTTATGAGAAAGTTTATTGCATCAGACGTCGATTTTCCTTTCCGAAATCCAAATTGATGAAGACTCAGAAGATTATTTATATCAAAGTATTTTACTAGTTGTTCGTAAATTATGTGTTCGAAAATCTTTGAAAAAGTTGGCAGTATTGCTATCTGTCGAACATTTTTTGGTTCAGATGTAACACCTTTTTTATGAATTGGCAGGATTCTACCAATTTTCAATTGCTGAGGGAAGTAACCTTCACTTAGACAGGTATTGATAATATCTGTTAAGGGTTGAGTTATACATTCAATGGCACTTTTTATGACTAAAACATTCACACCGTTTATATCTTCCGTTTTTTTATTTTTAACTTGGTTATGATTATTCTCACCTCATCTGTCGTTACAGGCCTAAAAAACATCGGCTTATTTGTGTTCATTTTTTTATCCATAAAAGCAATAGGGTCAACATCAGATTTGGGGTAGTGCAGTAGAGTTGTGTTTATGTTATTGATGAAGAAGTCATTCATCTGGTTAGCTGTTAGATTTTCTGGTTCATTTAAGATTTTGTTTTTTTGACCTGTTTCGGAGTTAATGATTTGCCACACAGTTTTGCTGTAATTATCTATTTTACTTAATATACTGTGGTAATGTGCTTTTTTAACCTCCAATAGTGACTCCTGATATTGTCGTTTACAAGTTTTATAGATGTTTTTATGTTGTTCAGATGGATTTTGCCTTTGTATATCATATGCAAGCAATAAAATATCTTTTGAGGCTGTAACCTCAGGGCTAATCCATTTTGATGCGCTCTTTGATTCAAATCTTGCTTTAGTGAGCGGAAAGCTAATATTATAATAAAACATAAATGAGATTTCAAAGTTACTGAATTTTTCTTTAGCATCATTTCTTGTATATACACTGGACCAATCTTCTTTTCGCAAATATGACTTTAGTGTTTCTATATTGATATAGTGTTTCTGTGCTTGACAACTCTAGAATGTAATCTCAATATCTTCAACTGTTTTAAAAAAATCTGTTTTTAAAATCTGTTTTTCCGTTAACCAGCTGTCGCACCCCTACGAACGACAACCCTCAGACGTCGAAACTTGTGCGAGCTAAGGATTAACGAGGTCTTGCCTTTTAACGTGTGATTCCTAACACGTTACTACTACAAAATGTCGGAACCTCTAATAGTTGCCTGAATACATTGACCTTTAACAACATAATATGAGGTAATAAGCTTGAGGTCAGTTCAGAAGATGCTCGAAATGGTTGCCTTGAACTTCTTGACATATAAACAGCCTATCCGATATTTCACGCCGAACATTTTCGAACACAGTAAAGTCAATATCTCTACAAATATTTATTATTCTTTGCCGTATATCCAATATTGAAGCAGGTTCAGTTTCGTACACCTTTTGCTTCAAATAGCCCCATAAAAAAGTCCGAAGGTGTCAAATCTGGCGAGCGGGCTGGCCATTCTATAGGACCTCGATGGCCAATCTAACTACCGGGAAAAGTAGTATCAAAATAGTTTCAAAATGATGTGTCACAAGACCCCCTTTTCATTTAATTTTTTTCCCAGATGGCGCCCAGTCGCCATTTCGAAAGTATCATCTGTCAATTTCACTTCAAAGTAAAGTATTCATGCATTGATTTCATTATCCCAAATTTCAATTTTTTGAGTTCGCCCGTTCAAAAAATAAAAGGGGGGAGCATTAAAAAAATGCACTGTATATTTACTTTGACACTGGGTGCTGCAAATATCGTATAGCTTAACAAAACTTTTTATTTTTTTAGGTCAGCTCTGGAGGTTTTTATCTGGATTCGTATCAACAGGCGCTCCAGAAAAGAACTTGTATCCATTTATCCAACAGGCATATTTTGACAGTAAAAAACAACCTTCGATAAAATCTTTCTTCTTTCCCAAAAAAGAAGTTACTGTCAAAAATGTTTTGTCGGGTAAAAAATTCCAAGATAAACCTTCCACATCATCCAGTAAAGTCAAAAGCAGTAAGTCTGATTCGGAACTGAAAATGGAAGAAGGTTATGATTCGTATGAGGATGTTATACCAGCAACTCCACCATCTTTCAAACTTAAAAAGAAAGTAAAAAAAGATCCCCAACTTACCAATGAGGAAATTTTAGAAAGGTTACCTAAAGCTAATGTCGCGGATTTAATTGATGAAATAGATGGGGGAATTATTAACAATGGAAAAGAGAGAGTAACTGAAGAAACGCTTCTATCCAGCATAGACAAATTGTCTAGGAAAAACAAAAATTCCAAATCATCAGAAGATATGGATATAGATTTGCTTTTCTCGAAATAACTTTCAGCAGATCTCTAGATTTTTGACCTCGTGTTCCCTCATGGGGATACTCATCAATATTGTGAAATCGATTTAAGAAGAATTTTCTGTCGAAATGAAAAGAAAGATTCGGGTGGAGATTCACTAAAGATACATACAAAATATTTTGAATTGAAATATCTTTTATAGTAAAGTTCTATTTATTTTAGTTTCATTTTATTATTCCTGTTTATGAAACTGCAAATACTCTATTGCAGTTCACATTAGAGAAGTCAAAGACAAACCGCAACTAAACAATTTGTTAGACATCAATTATAATAGGCAAAATGTGTTTCAAGTACTTTGAAATCATGTGGCTGAAAAAAAAAGACATTCACTACCAATAAATCACCCATTACATAGTATGGGTAAATACCAAAATGCATAAAATATACCTGGTGCGACCAACTTTGACCCCTACCGCATGTAGAATAATTTGTCAAAAACTCTCGACCTATGGCAATCTTGATAAAAGAGATCCTTTTTAGTTTTAGCCTTCTATTCACATAATAGGGGAGCCAAGCGGGGATTTCGGGATTCACTAAAGCGCGGCAGATTAATATACAGGGGGATACCTTGTACCCGGTTAAGTACCTCCACCAAATATGAGCCCTATATATAAGGCCGCCTGTGAGGGATAAAGGATCAGATTAGTAAAGAAAAATTGATCATCAGAAATTCTCGAGCGGGTCAGATTAAGGTAGGGTGAGTTAATTACCTGCTTAAAAGTGTATATTCCAGTAATCTGACAATTTGAGAGTGACGTAAAGAAAGGGGATGGCAGCAAAGTTGTAAAAAAATGACGTCATTTCGACATTCTCGAGCGTAGCAATTTTTTTTTATTTTGAAGGAAATAATTCAAGGATTTCCGCAAGCCGAAATAACAAAAATTCGTCGATAAAGTTGAATGCGTGCAGCTGTGTGATACCTATATTTCCCTCTCCAAGTTTCTATTCCTCTATTCTCCATTCACTTTTTCTCTATCTATTACCCTCTCATTCCGTCCCCACTCTGAATTCTGTTGTCATGACGCCATCACATCTGATCACAGAGACTCGTTCATGATGAAGATGAAGATTAATTAATCAATCGATGGATGTAGCCGTTACTACGTGGTAGGAAATCATAATGAAGAAAAGAGAAATGAAACTGTCTATGTTTTTACCACTTTTATTTGTAACTAACGTTACCGCAGTTTCGTCCTACAAGGACATTTTCAAACTTAAAAATAATAATCTAATAATAACAGAATGGTACACAAAGCCAACATGGTCAGGCAAATATTTAAACTATCATTCTAACCACCCCATAAGCCATAAAAAATCAGTAGTGATAGGGTTGACCATCATTTAAGTAGTCTCCAATTTAGACAACAAGCCTTAAAAAAAGTAGGTGATACACTTACCAATAACAATTACCCAATTAATTTCATAAATATCATAAAAAAATGCACATATAAAATGTACAATTCTTCAAACCTCATTATAAATAAAAATCCTGTTTCCTTTTTCGCCATACCATACATTCCTGGCTTATCAGAAAATATAGTCAATATCCTTAAAAAACAAAACATACAAACATGTTACAAATCTTATAACCTAACGAAAAAACTTTTCACGTCACTAAAAAGCAAAGTTCCTGTAATGAAACAATCCAACTTGATTTATAGTATTCCATGTTTTGACTGCGATAAAGTTTACATTGGGATGACGTCACAATTATTAAATAACCGACTAAATGGACACAAACATATGAAAAATTCTAGTACTGCTCTAAACAAGCATATTGTTACTGATAACCACAACCCAAATTTTAATGGCACCAAAGTTTTAGCGTATGAACACAACCATGATAAAAGAACTATAAAAGAAATGATATACATTAAAAAATCACCAAACACTATAAACAATAGAACAGATATCAACAACCTCAGCCAAATCTACCACACAGTTCTTTAACTTCAAAAATATCCTAACAATACAACCACACTTCATAATAAAACTACCCCTACATATAGCAAATAAACATTCCAACAAAATATAAAAAAAGACCCAGTCACAAAACAAAATTTTATATTCGATATCCTGCAGAACTGAGACAAGCACTGTATACATATTGACACACCGTTTTCCATCAACTATAACATTAATTTTTAAAATGATAATGTGGAAAAAAGCCAAATATAATAATGAATTATGCGGTACTTGCCAAGGTATGTAACCCTCCTTTCTTGAATACTTAACACTCAATTTAATGTTTTTTTTTATTTATCTTCCAGCTGTTAATTACTGAAAAATGTTACCGACTTTCACTGATTAAAAAAGAATTTTACTGAAGATGCCTCTGGCCAGAGGCGAAACGTTTAATTGAAGTCTTTTTTTTCGTATATTTTAATTCAACATGTGCCCAATAACCCAAGAAAATTAATCAAAAATACATACAAGGGCTCAAGAAATTACACATACTACAAATGTGTATACATAATGTGGCCAAATAAAATATCCATCTATGTATCTATCAATGGCTTCTTCGGGCGTGAAGACACGCCTGAATCATTATCTAAGGATTTATCCATAGACAATGCCCGAATGTTTTGAATACGTTGTAAAATAATAAATCCTTTTGTCATTTTAGACCGATTACTCAGATTCTGAAGCACTGCTCTAGAAGAATCATCACTGAGATTAATTATCAACAGGTTTGTTTACTAAACCATCCTGTAGATGGTGTTCCGTATCTTTCGAATTTGTAAATACAAGTACAAATTATTCAGTTTGGCAACCGCGCATTTTTTTAAAGGAATCAAATCGTATTGATACGTGAAAAGATTATTTCTTGACTTATGGAAAGACGGAGGTCATGATCATGATGAAAGTGCCAACGTACTGGATGGAAGTTCTCTTGTCTAAGGATGAAAGAAAACAACTAGCGACATTTTTTGGGGAAAGTTGAGTATTTTTTAACCGAATTAGGTAATATTTGTACCAGATGGTATAATCTTAAAATTTTCATTTCTACTTTACTTACCTTTATCATGCCCTACGCAATTATTGCATTTTTCAGCGGTAATAGACGAAACAGCTTCACTAAAAATATTTGGCAACATGGTTTATTATGTCCGCCCAAATAAGTTCTATTGGGTTGGGCCTCAGAGCACAGATTAAATATACAGATGCGAAAGCTTTTATGTTCGATGGCTCAAAATTCGTAACCTTGAATATGATGTGTATACCACCTCGATATACACAGAGAAAAAAGTTTGGTTGATTTCAACTATTTCCTCCTAATGTACACTGAAAAAACGTGCTTTCGCTGTTCACAGAAAAAGTGATGGTATTTTTATGGTACATTATAATGAAATAAAGAAACTCGCATATTGACAAATTTGATTAGAGAGATAAGTAGATATCATCAATTAAGTTCAATAGTGAAATTTGATAAAAATTAGGAATATTCTTAATCATTTTGTATATTTTCTTATTAGTCAGTGGGCTATGCTTGAAGTCTGGCAGTAAACAAATTTGAAGAAATGAACTTTAAACGTTCAAGCCAGTCTCGAATATACCTACACAGTAAGTTGAATGGGCTGACGCCTATCAGAAAACAACTACTCTCCTGGCTAATACCACGATGGGCGTTGGATTATATCCGACAGGCGTCAGTGCAGGAATCTTCACAGTTGGTTAGTACCTCGTACCTACACTAGATTTAGTGACATTTTGTTGTTGGCTCCAACTTAGGAAGAGGAATGAAATACTCTGAAAGAATTCCGATTTCCAATTATGGAATATCATTGACTTTAGGTCGATGATGGCCACTATCTTGAACTGATAAGTGGCTAATGAGCCCGAAACCGGTCTGCAATGTGCCCGTTCCAAAATTGAAGGTCGACTCTTTCAGTTGTATTGCTGATTGCATATGCAGGACATTTTCTGTGAAAATTCCTGCACTAACGCCTGTCGGATATAATCCAACGCCCTTTGTGGTATTAGCCAGGGGAGTAGTTGTTTTCTGATAGGCATCAGTCCATTCAACCTACTGTGCAGGTATATTCAACACTGGCTTGAACGTTTAAAGTTCTTTCGATTTGAATTTCTTTAGATTTTGTATATTACAAAAATTATACTTCTTATTGATAAACGAATAATACAAATAGCAAGCAGGCTACCTTGTCACCCAATAACTGCTAAACATAAACTTAGGTTTACCTAAATTATCATTATCTATTCTTCTTAAACAATATACTTCTTATATGAGGACTTATTTGAAAAATGAAACAATTCGACTTGTTTATTCATTACATTCAATCAATTTTTGGGAAAGAAAGTTTTTGGCTTCCTTTCTTTCTTTAAAATAAGTAACTCTATACATGGATGTGTATTAATTATTATTAATCACTCCTAAAAATATAACCCCTTCAATTCAAATAATTCAAATAACAAAACATAGGTACTTAATTATCGATAACAACATAAAATCGATTTCAATAGACACATTCCGATGAAATATGTGATAGATAAATGTTTATTTCACTACTTTACATATATTTTCAACAAGTGAAAAATAACACGGATGAAAAATAAAGTTTAAAAATAAATTTAACCAAAATAAAAAAATCAATTGATTACAATTACTAGACATATAATGAAAATACACAGAGATGATAAATTTTGATGAAGGTTCGTAAAGTATATCAGTAATATATACAGTAATATTTGAAAATAGGACGTCTTTATTAGTTGGCATTGGTATTAGTGACTTCAACAATAGCTATATTATGAATATAAACAACGTTTTGCATCAAATTATTTCTCGTGGCTTTGATCAAATGACATGTATCAAATAAATATATAATATTCCTGTCACCAACTTGAAACTTATAATTACTAGGTGTGATACCAAGAATATTAGATAACTGAATAAAACCAGCTGTAAACAAATTTGATATACACCCATCAATCACACAATGTAGTTCTACAGCAAAAAACTGTGTATTCACAAAAAAATATGCTATTTGCTGCTTCCAATTATTATATAGTCCTCTCACCATAAAAACACAAGCCTTTTGAGCAAGTAACATTTCTTTTCTGCCCTTTCCAATATCATGTAGCCCAACAATCTCATCACGACCAGTATGGCCTGTCCTGATTTAACATGGTTCGTGATTTG